GATTCTACATAATTAGTATATATATATATAATATTATAAATTATATTAATATATATAATAATATTATAATATATTTATATAATACGCACTCAGACACACATCTATCCATCCATCTTCTATATATGGATCTTATATATGTGAAATTTATTATACGCTATATATTATAATATATATATATATATATAATATATATATATATATATATAATATATAAGAGATGAGAGACAGATAGTTGGCGGAATGTGAGGGGTGGAGAGATTGCAATATATGATTTACAATTTTCTCTTTCGCCGTTACACAGGTTTAAATGCATGCCACTGACCTTTTCATTTCCACTTCCCATATTCCAATTCTCTTTTTTCTTTCTCTATATAATTATCTCTAGTCTATCTTAACGACGAGAGCGAAGCGAGAGAGAGAGAAAAAATGGCGGGCCGGTATATGCGGGTGGGGTTCAATAATAAATTCTGGACAATAATAACAACATAATGAAGGATTATAAAACAATAATTACAGTGTTATAATTTTCTAGTATATTTTTACATTGTCCGTTGATTTTTATTAGAAAAATCATGCTAGAATAGTGTCGATTATCGCTGATTATGTTCAGTTATTAGGCAAATCCATTTATAATATCATGTATAATATATTATATTATGCCTAATTTATTCATAATTATCATTGATTCGTCATTATTGATGGGTTATGCATCAAAATCGATGAAATTAGCCAGAAGTTGTGTGCTTAAGATCATCATAATTCATCCTTTAAACTGCGGAAAAAGGGGTTTCGACTCATCTTCTCCAAAGGCTGTATTTCGCTTAGATTTTGTCCGTTTTTGGACTTTGAGATTTTCTAACTTTAGCCTTTTTCTCATATAGATCGCGCTTTCGTAATATATGATCATCATTATTGTCATTTCGATAGACATTATTACATTACTGTGATTATCGCCCTTAATACACCCGTTTGTTATCATGAGAGAGGTTCAGATTCTCATAATGACATGTCAGTCGTAGTATTATTTAAATAAAGATCAAATACAATAATAGTAATTTCTATCAACTCGAGCACAAAATAAGACAGAGGATTTATAATAAAAAATAAATACGGTTTGAATATATAATAACGTTCTATTATTATTGCTGTATGTGGTGTGATGCGTGTGAGAGCATAGAGCCGAGATCTCACTAGTCTCACTCTCTCACCATATTATACGGAATGACTGCACTTTAGTGGGCACAAATCATCCGATCATCGCTCATAGCGACTCGGCTGTCTCCTCGACTAATACCATATTCCTATTATGCCATTATATACATTAGTGCGCTTCGCACCCGATCTGTCCTTCTAATTGCCTCTCATACTATAATCATTTATCGAGATCTCTCTATTATGCTCAACTTAGTCTTTTTAAGCTCATCTATAGATGGGCTTTCTAATGATATTCTTCATCTATTTTTGTCATCATCATCAGCTCATTATTGATCATTACTAGTGTCGAATTATCCCCTAATCACCTTAGATATCAGGGGAATTCATTATAAAGTAGAAAAGTCATCTTAATTACTTAATGTCGGATTTTCGACTCCATTAAAGGTCATGGCTTAAATGAGTGAATGATATGATGAACAATTGAATGATGTAATTACTGGAAAATGAAGTAACACACGAATAATTAACTCAAGGAGAGAGGATCTATATTACATAACAATAATAGCCGTATTAAAACTTACTATTAGTGATTTCTGTTTTATGTTTTTAGTGATTAGAGGAAAAAAGAAGCTATTTATATCTATATCTGGCTCTATTGAGAAAATCGTCATGTGAATGAAGTATCGAGATGTGAGTATATATTATATATATCGTAAATTACTCTACATAATTATGATTATTATCGTCATTATTTGTACGATTACAATGGGGTATCAAAAGTAATCATGATAATAGCTGAAATTATTGCTAAGATCATCATAATCATCCTTTTTTAAACCGAAAAGAAGGGGTTTTCGACTCATCTCGCAAAGGCTGTATTTTGCTAGATTCCTGCTTTTTCGACGTTTGGTATTTCTACTTCTTTAGCTTTTTCTCATTATCAGATTTCTTAGTCTTTAATGATAATTATCACATATGTATCATTAGATACATCATCATTTATTATGCTTAGCTGTCATTTTCGCCCTAATCACCTAATATAGTCATTAAATGATAATCATCATCTCCCATATTAATGGTCATTTTGATCCATTGTAATTAGTTTTAATAAATGATAAATGACAATTGAATGATAATTCTGGAAATTAATAAACAACAATTAAGTAAGGAGATATATGTAAACACAATAGATAGCCGTATTAAAATTAGCTTCTAGTTATTATTTCTGGGTTATGCGTTGTGTAATTATTAGAAATCGATGCAGAGATAGATGTGTTGATTATGCTATTATTATTGCAGATTATTAGAAAATCATCCATCTATTAGTTATCATTGTATAATATAT